CCGCCCCTGGAAGTTTGGGCTGAGTGGCGGCCCTCCTTCTTCGCTTGGGCCCAGGGCCTCCGGGGGCCTGCGAAACGCGAGGCCCCGAAGGCAGCGGCGCGGCCGCCGCCCCCACCTGCCGCCGCCTGGCAGCGGGCGCTGGCGCTGCACGGCCTCACGTCGGAGGCCGCCGAGGCCCCGGGGCGGCAGGTGGAGGAGAGGAGGAGGGCGGGTCGGGAGGTGGATGAGGGCCCTGACCACGCCGTGGCTTCCGCCCAGCCACTCGCAGGAAGTGCGACCGCCAGCGGGGCCCAGCAGCACGCCGCCCCCCGAGCGGGCGCGCGTCCCGAGCAGACACCCAGCCCGGCCCAGTCAACAAGACCCACCAAGGAAAGGCGCCTGACACCCTGCCCGACGCCCATCCCGCCCACTCACGGTGGCGATTCATCCCTTCCCCATTCACTCCCTCCCACTCCGCGTGGCGACGAGCCGACCCCAGCCTAGCCTGCCACAAGACCCACAGCTACTAAGTCCGTCGGGGCGCCACAAGCCGTCGGCGCGACACCTGAAACCCCCGGAAGGTGCGCGGAACACGGCAGCCGTGAAAGGCAGCAGGGGCGAGTCCCGGACACGCCCATCGTGGGCTCACTGTGCCCGACTGCAACGGACAACCCTGGCATCCAGCGCGGCGACTACGTGGTCATCAGGAGTGATACCCTCCCCCGCGCCAGGTGGTTCAGCATTGCAGACTGCACCGAGCCCCTGTCGACACAGCCCCTGGATGGAGCAGCATTCGGACCCGTCCTCAGCGTCTTGGCCCGCGAACAGGACGGGCGGTCTCAACTCGTGCAGATCGGCAGCGAGAGGCTGGAAGTATGGGGCGTCGGTGACATGGCGCTACGCGTAAACGTCCTCCGCGGAGACGCAGCGCTCCGGGCAGCAACCTTTCTGGACAGTACCCGCGACAAGGTGCTCGGAACGCAGGCACCAGCGCTCCGCGACAGTCCCATGCTCAGCATCGACACTGGGGGAGATAAAGCGACGTCCTCAGGGGAAATGCAGGACGGACCCAAGCTCGAGCCCTACTCGCCGCAGGCAGACACGCGGGATTCCCACCCTCGGACCTGCGCCCCTCATGCCCCCTAAGGAGGAGGACCCCGACTGGACCAATGGCGACCAGGCACAAGAGCAGAAGCTGTGCCTCGCCGAGGCCCAAAGCGCAGTCCATCCGATCTCCTCATCCTCAGACTCAGACGCAGTCGAAGAGCACCAAGCCAAGACGAGTCCTCGGAACGAGCGGCGCAGCAGTCCCGAGCACGACCCACGCAGTACCGACCTGAGGGCCGCCCGCGCACCCGCAGAGCCGATCGCGCGTCCAGAGGCCGCGGCCGACGACCGGAAACTGCGCGCGCGGAACCGGTCCAAAGGCCCGGAGGATCCACGACCTGCACCCCTGCACGCCAGCTCGAGCGCTCGCGCGGCAGTGTGCGGGAGACAGTGGCCTGGGAGTCGTACGCGACGGCGGTGAGGTACGAATCCAGAGAGGCCGACCGGACCCGCACAGGAGAGCACGACCGCGACCGCGACCGCGACCGCAACCAAGGCGCAGCGGGGGCACCGCGGTGCAAACACGACGCCAGGGACTGGGACAGAACCAAGGAGCGCTATTGGGACCAGAACCACGACACTGGCAGGGGCGCAGGGAGCGCACCCTGGCGCCAACCAGAATTGCGCAATTCTTACCACAGGGACGATCGCCACCACACCGACACCAGCCGGACGCGGGCAACCTTCCGCGTTGGTTGGCAGCGCCTCCCACACGAGACCGCAGTCACACACCTGAAGAGACTGCAAACGGAAGGGGGGTACCATTTCTACGCAGCCTGGCATTCGCGGTGCCAGCGCATGTGCAAGGAGCAGGGCAAAGGCAAATCCAAAGACCAGGCCCCCTTCGACCCGGGGCCGCTGGCAACAGTGGATCATCGACAAATTCCTAGATGACATGAGCACCGAAAACCATCACGTGGAGGCGTGGCCCCGCAGCGCAGGCGTCCACGTGGACTGGGGGCGGGGGCAGAGGCTATGCCAGGACGCACAGAGGAAAAGGGAGGTCGCTAAGGGTGACGGGCGCGAAGGGGACCAGGCGCGCAGCTCCGGGTACCGTGACGCCTGGACTGGAAAGCGCCCGCGGCGCTGACCAGCCGTCGACCTGACCCCCCTTTGACCTACGGCAGCACGACACAACCAGCCCCTCGCTCCAACAACCTGCGCCCCGACCCCCACCCCGCCTCTCTCACCTGGCTGGGGACCGTGTGTCCTCCTCTACCCCCCCACCTGCCCCCCGCTGCCCCAGTGGCGCCCGCGTTCCACGAGCTACGGCTACTTGCCATTCCACCTGGACCCCGTCTTTCTCCCCCCCTTCCCCTCTCCCGTTTTCAAGGATCTGGGACTCTGTGTCCCACCTGTGCCCATCTGCGATGCGTCGCACGCCCTGTCTTTACCTGCATTGGGACCTTGTGTTCTACCTGTACCCATGGGGGCTTGCCCCCACGTGAGCACCTTCGGTGCAGACTGACGCGACTTCGGCTGGCGCGGGTGACGGCCTCTCTCCTCCCTGTTCGCTTCGCCCCCCCCCGCTCGCTACCCCCCCCTCCCATGGCGGCAGCGCCCGGCACAGCGCGGCTTCGGCCCGGTGCTGGGCACTGCACCTTGCCGCCTCGGCGGCCCCGCTTGCCTTGGCGCTGCGCGGCTCAGGCCCGGCCCTCGGCCACGCGGACGTCAGCGCATCGTGCGTGGCACCCGCCCGTCTTCACGCGCTGACTGTGCAGGCCAGGTTCCCTCCCTGCACTCCGCCGACATCCAGTCGGGCACGGACGGCCCTGTCTCTGGCCGCACCTCTTGCTGGCTGCTTCCTGGACGTGGATTGGACTACCGCCCCAGGCCGCTTCCGACCACCCGGTGACACAACGCTGCACATCGCCTTCGTGGTCCTCCTTTTCCTCTGGGCCCCCTCCTCACCATCCAGCGGCACAACGTTGCTCATCGACCTCACGGTGGACTTCTCCTCCCTGGACGTCGACCTGGTCGCGTGCAACGTCTTCCCATGTAGCACTTGAGGATGGTGTTTACGGAGCGCCGTTGACGGCGACACCACATCGCTCACCCTCCGGATCTTCGCCTCCGGCTCCTGTCCAAGGCGTTCCTTCTTCCGGTGCAAGCTCCTCGGCGCCGCTTGCACCCCAGTTCGCCCTCCGGCCGCCTGAGGCCCCGCCCGCCTGTGCCCTGTCTCCCCAATTAGAGCTGCGCGCAGCCCGCCTAGTTTTTACCGGAAAAGGTTCGCTCTCGCCCCGCAGACTAAAAAAGTGAGTTGGGTCACTCCCTTCGTGGTCGGGCGCCCCGCCTCCCTCGTCCGTTCTCCCACCCTTCTGCCCCCCTCCCCCTCCCTCCCTCCCTCTCGCCCGCCCTCCTGCTCCTTTCCTCCCGCTCCCTCCTGTCCCGCTTAATCCCCGCCGCGCGCATCGTCCTGTCCTGCCCCTCGTCGTCGTCGCCCGCGTCGTCCGCTCAGTCCTCGTCGTTCTGGCGGTGCGCGGGCGATGTGGGGGGAAGGGGCTTCGGCGCCCTGAGGAGGCGGGGGGCTTCTCAGAAGGCGTCGACTCCCCTTCGAGGAAGCGCAGGCATGGATCGAGGCGCGTGGATTAGCGACCGGCCCCAATTCCATACCGAATCGGCACGCTCCGTCGCCAGATCAGGCGGCGCTGGCATCACGTTGTACCTCCCCCTTTCCATGTTAGCATGTGCCCGAACCCTTCTCCAAGGCTTCCGCAGAGCCCACTGCGAGGGCATAGAGGGCTTCCAGGAATTCGCTCGAGGTGGGTCGTCGGCCGTCGGCCGTCGGTCGTCGGTAATCAGTCGTCGTATGCCGTATGGTGATCGTCGTATGTCGTGCGTCGTCGGTCGCAGTCGTCGGTCGCCGTCGTTGGTTGCCGTCGTTGGCCGTCGGCAAGTATAGTCGTCGTCGTCTCTCGAGCTGCGTTCGGCCGTGGCCCTGGGGAAAGGTTGGAGGTCCCCTGGAGGTCCCCAGGAGGTCTCCCCCAGAGGCTTCCCAGAAGTCCAGCTTGTGAAAACAAGCTACGCACCCAGACCCCCTCGCGCAGTGCAAAAATCACGACGGGAGGTTTTCCTCTACTGTCGGCCTCGGGGGGCCCTTCCCGGGCCGCGGGGCCGTCAAGAAACGACTCAAGATGAAAAACTGGTCCTGGGGAAGGGGTCCAGACCTTTGGGGGTCGACGTTGTGAAAAAACACGACGTCGGGGGTCTGGTGACTTGCCCAATCTGTTTGCAGCAGGTGGAAGCGTCAGCGGGCCCAGTCTGGACTAGCGGCTGTTGGAGAGGGCGCGCGATCTTCCGTGAAAGCTATGTGGGAAGCCGTGGCGTTACACGCCTCACAAGACCATTTTGAAGCAATCCGACGGGGAAAGGAGGCAGAGAGGGGGATGGAAAGCAGGACAACGATGACAAAGAGGAGGAAGGAGGACAAGAGAAGAGGGATTTGCGTACGACCGCCCCGCAGTACCAGAGAGGTCAAGGCCACGTTTGGATCTGCGCAGCACGCTCCGCTGGGCTCCCCAGGGGGTGGGTGAGGTCTCGCCTGGATCTGCGTGGGGCACCACTCCCGTGGACCTCGTTTGGGCGCTGGGCGAAGCAGACGTTGGACGCTGCTCCCCCGAGCGAGAGAGGAGAGGAGGAGGAGGAGGAGGAGGAGGAGGAGGAGGAGGAGGAGGAGGAGGAGGAGGAGGAGCAGCAGGAGCAGGAGGAGGAGGAGGAGGAGGAGGAGGAGGAGGAGGAGGAGGAGGAGGAGAGGAGAAGAGGAATGGCAGCGTCGACTGCGACTCCCTTGCCAGCGGTGACAGCGGCAGGAGGAGGGCCATCGGTGCCTCAGTGGGGACTCCCCAAGACAGCTCGACCGACGCTCCTATTTCCCGCAGGTGCCCATCGGCTGGTCGCCCGCAGGGATGGCGGGCTTATTTCTCTGTCTGCCAATGTTTGGCCGAAGTCTCGAGCCAGCACCGTGATCTAAGATTCGCTGCCTCCGTTCTTTCTCCTTGTCCTCTTCATCGTCCTCCTCCGCATTCCTCCTCCTTCCCTCCTCCCTGCCTTCCTCCTCCCTCCTCCCTCCTCCCTTCCATCGCCCGTCTCTCGTGTGAAACCTGATCCCCCTGTAAAGGAAATGAGCTGAGTGTGGAGAGAGGACAGACGATCAGGTGACAGGTAAGCGCCTCATGATCGCACTTCTCTCAACACAGCGGGCCACGCATGTGCAGTGCTGAGTGGTACCAGCCCTTGCGAGCGTACGTCCAGGCTCGAGGCCTTACGCTCCATCGGGGAAGAGTCTTCCTCGTGGCAGCGGAGCCGTGGTCCCCCCTCGCCTGGGGCCGCGGCTTCGCCTGGGCAGCCGAAGGCCCTGGCGCCTGCCGCGGAGCTGGCGCCTCCGCGCGGGCGACGGGCTCGGGCTGGCCTGCGCTCCTCCGCACGGAGGCCGAGAGGGCCGGGGTGCGGCTCGGCCGAGGCCTGGAGCGCCGGGGTGGCAGCCGAAGGTCGTGCCCGGCGGGGGCGGCGGAGTCGGCTCGGGCCACGACGGCGGAGTCCACGTCCCGCCAGAAGCCCCGAGCCCGCCGCGCTCGCCGCCCGCCGCCCCCGGAGCTCGACCCTGGCGGCCTCCGCGGCGGAGGTCTCGGCCGCGGTGGAGGCCTGCGCGGTGGAGCCCCAGAAGCCGTCGGGGCTGCGAGGTCGCGCCGCGCAGCAGCAGCAGGCAGCGGGTGCCGGGCGCCCGCGGCGGCGGGACACGCGCACGCCCGGGAGGCCCGACGACTTCCCTGGCCCGTCGTTGGAGGTAGGCGCCAAGCAGAGCGGGGAACATCATTTCAACCTGATCGCGCTTGCTTCTATTGCCAGTGCATCGTGCGACGCGTTGCGCGCACGTGTTGGGCCGGGCTTTTCTGCCCAACGTCGAAGTTGAAAAGCATGCGTTGCGTGCGTGAATTCTCATGTTTTCTCCGTGGGGTTATCTTCCTTTGTTGCGTGTGCCCCGCATAGCATTAGTGTTGTTGCCTGCCGCGCTTTGCTCGCGTATTGTTGGAGTTTGCTGTGTGTGGGGCTCTTGGCAAGACGTGTGAGCCGTAGTGGTGCGTGCTTGACTTGGTATCTGGAATATTTCGAGCAGTTGTAACGATGTCGCTCCCAGGGAATGTTCGCCAGCGTGGGCGCTACGCAATGGGTTCTGCCACCCTCGATGTGCACCATATGTTTGCCCCGCGCGGTGCTGCACACAACTGCCTGCTTCCTTTGCACCAAATTGCCTGGGCAATAATTGTGAAGGGTAGCCCTTGGTGTCGCTTTGTCTGTGCCCCACGTGCTTTTTGAACTCGGATTTATGTGTGTGTGTGTGGCGGCATCTGCGTTTTGAAGCCTGCTCTCGTGGTTTGTGGTCCGCTCCAGGGAGTAAGGTTCGCGCAAACATTCCTCCCTAAACTTGTGGGCAAACTCAATTTGGCGGCGATAGCGACAATATCGATGATGATGATGATGATGATGATGATGATGATGATGATGATGATGATGATGATGATGATGATGATGATGATGATGATGATGATGATGATGTTCATGGCGACGGTGGGGACGATGCCGACTACGACGATGGTGATCACGCACATGGTGATGATATAAAAAGGGTGGCAATGATCACCTTGGCGTGATGGTGATGACGAGTGCGCGCGCACAAATATAACGACGGCGACGACATCGACGATGACGATGATGACGGTGGCGGTGATGATGCCGACGATGATGGTGATGACGATGGATTGTGTTGATGCTGGCGATGGTAACGGGTGCGCTGGTGTGGATGATGCGGAAGTGCGCGCTCCGTAGAATCTTTGAATCCCTGTCATACCTTTACCGAACAACCACTGCTGTTTTTCTGTTTTTGAATGCATCCCTATGGATATGCTTATGAAGCCAACGGATTTGGATGGATTTCGACGTGTGCGCCCGTGTGGCCCGCATTGTAGCGGTTGCCAGAGTTGGCGGATTATCGATGGTCGTTAGCCGTTTCTGGCATGCGCGCGCTCCTTGGACCCGCACGGCCTCACTTGACATAACGACTCACGCAGCCTCGGGGTTGACAAAGCCACGAGTGTCTCATAGATGTTGAAAACTATTATCCGGCGAAGGCATCTATACACCACCACCGTGTCAGGCCAGGGCCATCCTGGGCCCCAGGATGGTGTATAGACCCTCCTGGCCTCGGCCAGGAGGGCGTATACACTATGCCAGGGCCAGGATGGCCCTGGCATGGCACGGTGGTGGTGTATAGATGCCTTCAGCGTATATTAGTTGTTGAACGCACTTCTGACGTGCTCGGTTTTCATTCAACAGTTGTTGCTTTATATTGGCATGCGTGTGCGGCGGCGCGCGCATGTGCCCCGGCTGGTATTGGCCGCACGGAATTCTTAGAGAACGTATTTCTTGGATCAGCAGGTGCGCGCCGCACTATACCATTCGACCAGGCTGGCTTTGGATGGAGTTCGACGTGCGCGCGGCGACTCGCGTGTGGCCCG